CTAGTTAGAGACTTAACTTTTAAAGAACAGAATGGAAGTAATCAAGTGATAATAGATACTTAGAAATTCATACTTAGATTCTGGATTACATAAAGATTGTTTAAGCTGGAAGGAAGGAAGGAAGGAAGGAAGGAAGGAAGGAAGGAAGGAAGGAAGGAAGGAAGTTATTGAACTTATTTGACCATCTTATTTGGAAACTGCTGTTGGTAGTTATATTATCCTTATTTTTCTGCCTATTTCTCACAGAATCAGAGGGTAATCTTGCAATAAAGAGATAATGATCACCATCTGGGTGGAAAAGAACCTTCAAATTGGTAACAATTGAGGCTCATGTGAGGATTTGACAATTGAAATTCTGGGTAAAACTAATTTGGGGAAAGAGACCTCTATTCCAGATAATTTTTGTTGACAAATTTGATTCCTCATGGAAAAAAGCATAGCCTCAGACTTTACTTACTACAGATTCTTAGTCCAATCATTGATAACACTAGACTCTGAAAAGGCCTTACAAGAAATCAATGTATCCTAGATCTCCTTCTATAGAAGGAGAGGAGCAGAATTGCTTGCCATTGTAACAGTGACCTTTGGAACAGGCATGAATTACATGATCCCTACTATTCACATAATCATACCTGTGTTTTTAAAAATGGAATGATTATGCCAATGTTTGGAGAATGCAACTCTGTGAAAATGCACTTTATCATATTAGAGGTACCTCAAGACTTCTACCTCTTCAGCAAACTCACATATTTCAGCACAATAACTAAGGAACTGGAATTGACACCTGGAATCTATATCTATGCCCACTATACAATAATTGTTCAGTAGTAAATTATATGCTTTACAACATTCACTTTCAAGAAATTTCCCATGTCAATTTGTGTGCATACGTGTCATATAGATTGTATACTGGCAAGGTTTTAAAAAAACTTGCTAAATTAGCATATTACATAATAATAATAATATTATATTATTATATTACAGTAAAAACAATACATATGGTACTATAAAGCTTAAAAATACCCACTGTAACATACAATTATATGAACATGGCAGGCATCAAAAGTTTTTATCTTTTCTTTTATCTTACCTTTACAAACTTTGCAACAACTTTTAGATAAGGATATTTGTTGAGACTCAGGACAGTTCAAAGCAGGACAATTTGACTCCACTGTACGCTGCATTTTGTAATTCTATTGAATCAAGATCATTATTTGTGTTGGCTATGAACTACATTTTGGCATAATTATAAATAAATAAATACATAAATACATAAATACATAAATAAAAATATAAGTCCACAGTTAATAACCAGTTATATTCACATATAAATGATTATACTGTAAATCATCTGGGTAGAAGCTACTTTTGCTTGTAAGTCATTATTGTGTTATTGGTTTATTTTTATTGTTCCACATGGATTTGCTAGTCTGATGTCCTCTATTTCATCCCACTGTTGGTAATATGTTCAAATGTCATACCTAACATTTGTGTAATTTTGACAGAAGTAAAAAATTGCGAAGGGCAATGTGTGTTTTAGTATGTCTGCTTATCATAAGTATATAAGCTGCACACAGAGTACTGCAGCTGAAAGAGAAATGACCCTGGTCATTTCAGGTTCCCTTTTTAAATTCAACTAATCATACGCACCCATACATCTCTGTAGGACCAAATTCTAATTTGAATGCCCAAGGCAACTCCAATGAACTGAAAATTGGGGACCCTAGCTATTGATTAGCAAATGTTATTTCCTTATCTCTAAATTTCTGTCACATAATAAAGACACCTGAAATGATAGTGTATTTAAACCTATCATTTAGATAGATAGGTTTAAATTCACCTGAGATGTATTTAAAGGTATTGTCTCTATACCCAGACTCTGAGCTGATTCTAGTGGGTAATTTTAATGCAAGGATGGATCTGACGATAAGCCATTTTTTTTCTTCACATTTTAATTTTGCCTGTTTTAATCCTTGACAGCTTGCTCTACATCTTGCAGTTCCCAGAATAAAGGCATCAACAGTGGGGGGTGGACGTTTGTTGAATTGGTTATTAAAAATGATCTACAAATCTTAAATGGCTCGGTGCTTGGCAATTCAGAGGTAGATCTTACCTTTTACTGACACATGGGCACAGGCACAATTAATTAGATCTCCTACTTCATCCCCTCAGCATGAAAGCATTCATTCACCAGTCAGTATTAGTTTGCTTTTATTAACTCAGTGTCAAGGTTAACTGCTCAGACTACATTAGAGGCTATTCAGTTTAGGCACCCTCAAATTGAATTGTCCAATAAACATACAAATGCTTCATTCTAGTTTCTCAATATTGTCAAAGGTATCTGAACTCAAAGAAGCTTTAACTGGTGTGAAAAGTGCCCATGTAAACTTAACTTATAACAGCAAATGATGAATATTACACAGGAGTTGTTAAAGTCTAATATCTTATCTGTTCAGAACTCTATTCCTAGACCTTCCTCATTCTTGTTTTATAAAGAATGTGTTACACCTAATACTCGGCCTATAAAAGAACAAGGGCCTCCCTACAGAATGTGCTATGTATCCTGTAAAAAAAAAAAAAAAAAAAAAAATCCTGTTAAAGGATCTATAGGATGCTGGAGAAACAATGTAGTAGGAACAATGCTCCATACCTGGAATGTTTATGTCTATGCCTGAATGAAGCTACTGAAATTTTTGCCCCTGCATTGTCACCAAGTCCCTTTAACAGCTGTTGCTTTGAGTGAATAACTCTACTGTTTACTGAATGTTTAGACCAGTGTGAAAAATATCCACTTATATCTCCAAAAAGGAGCTAAATTTTATTCTATTGCAATTACCGTTAGGAAGCACTAGGTTTGAATTTATATTATTCTATATAGTATTTATATTATTATTTTATTAAATATTATATTTATACAAAGTATTTATATTAAATGTTATTGTATAGATATTTTTAATGAATCTCTATTATTATTGTTATTTGTTTTATTAAAACCAAATATCAACAGTATAATGCAGGCAAATAGTCAACAAAATCATCTAATATATTCTAGTGCATCATTAAAAGCTTAGAATACTGTAAGACATTTCATATCCATTTCCTAATTTAAAAATGTCTCTATTAAACTTTAAAGGTACTTGGTTAACATAACTGAAGTCATTAAAAAAGAAGTAAGAAAGATAAAATATATATGATAAGCAATACATTAAGATAATACTGTAAATTATATGTAAAATTATATATTGAGTTAGAATCTCTGTTAACTATATTCCTCATGTGTAAACTTAGTTGTTTCAGATTCTCTTTTTGTCTTTAACTAATTAAAAATAAATAGTTGTAAATATATCCACAACTCTGCAGCACTGAACATTGCGGCTTGAGAAAAGAGAGGAAAAGAGCAACAATCCAGATCTCCTGCCAATTCAAGAGTAAAGTTGAACAAATTATGAACTCAGATCTAAAGCTCTTAAAAAAACTTTCAATGGTAAATGTTATGATATAATTGTATTAGATGGTATCAGAGAGAATGTAGCACTGCAGAAAAACTACAGCCTAACAAAAAAAGCCAAGAGGATTAGAAGAAAATGGTATATCGAGGTAGACTGCCAGAAAAATGGTTCAGAGAGGGCACTGTGTGATACATAACTGAACTGCAGTAGAGCAATGGGGGAGGGGGAACTGTCAGATGGGACCTTCTAGGAGAATCTATAGCTGTTCTTCCACACAACAACAATGGATCAAAACTTTTCATCAGAATAATAAGTGTAGCTGCATTTCCAGGCCAAATTGCTGCACCATATTTTTCTTTAAATGTTGCTAGAACATTATCTTTCATTGGTATAAGGAAGTTGCTCTCGACATAACACAGATCTCATTATCCTTTAATAGTAAACTCAGTAATTCATTAATGCAGCAAATATTTTCTTCATATTAAATTCAAAACAGATTCCCCTCATCTTTTAAAAGAGATCTAAAACTATTAGAAGAGAAAACCATAGACTGGACCCACCCTGCTTAGTACAGGACATGCACCACAATTAATGGGGCTTAGGTTAGTTAAGTTTATTTCAGTGGATATACTCTCAATTAAATATGTATCAATGCCATATATATTAAATTAAGTGCTTTAATATACAAAAAGAAAAATGGAAAAGACAGACCGACAGACAGAAAGAAAGTGTGATGGAATGGAATTATGAAGGCCAGGCTCAGAGAGATAAACATTTTCTTAGCTCACTGTTGCGGCTGGCTGACTTTGGGAGCTGGGTTTCAGTCTGGGAAGATTCTTGCTAGAGGTTGTAGCTAATAAACATAGCTGGACTGAATTTGCATTGTCTCTTGGAGTTCCTTGGGCTAGGCCTGACAGAAAGAGCATCTAAAATATGTTCTCATGACCACACATAAACTAGTGCCAGAAAACTGCATGCAGCTATAAAAAGAAATACGAACTGAAGTGGAGAAATGATTGAATGAACTTGTGTTGTCTCATGAAAAATGCTTATGTGATAATTAATATAGCAGACATATCTGTCCATTTCTTCTAAAAAAGAAAAATATATATTAAATTCAGACTAGCAAAAACAACATAGCTATAGCAGCGCACTAAAGATCAAATTTCTTGACAACAACAAAAAAATTAAATTGAGCCAAAATTGTAGTAGGAACACATTATATAGAACATGTGATGAAATTATGAAGTGTTTAAAAACAATAATTAGTGGGGAAATAGCATGGCATGGCATATTTAACAACTCTAAAAATTGTTTTAGATATAATCTTCAGATATCCCATGAAGTATTTAGGACTCCCAAATACATTTCTCCAAGTGAAGAAAATAGGACACCAGGTGCTGAAATATTTGAGTCTCCTCCCTGGATACCACAGCCTTATTATGAGTAAGCAGACAGTTAAAAAAAAGGATCTTCCACTTAAAGGTGATATGGAAAAATATACATCAACTTGAAAAGCCATCAGTGTCACTATTATAATACCTTTTAAGGTTTATTGGAACAAATATTGTTGGAACAAATTACAGGGGAAAGATAAACTAAAAGTAATCTTACCTTGCATTCAAACAGAATACAGTCCTTTGAGTCTAAATATACAGATTGTCTTTCCCCTTCAAAGTAGGTTTTGCCTTCAAACACACATATTGCTATAAAGTTAAAAACAAAACAATTCTTTAGTACTTAGATTTTTTTATTTATGATGTTCCAAGACATGTTCACACCACTTAACAGAAATTTTTAGGTATCAGACACCATTTAAATATCACTCAGAAACATAGCAACTGTTCTTTAGAAGCTACGATTTGGTATTTGTATGTGGGGAAACTGGATTAATCAGGTTCAGTCTTGACCTAGGATCATTCTGTTTTCCTCTGTTTGTCAAACAAAGCAAAGCAAAGAGAGAGAGAGAGAGAAACAAAAGCAGTAAATACATCCTTGAACTTGTAAGCAAGAACCTGTTGAACCTGAATCTATAAGCAAGTTATTGTGGTGTTTTAATGGAAATGCAGGCAATATATATTCCATTTGATTTTAAAGTCCACAAAACACAATTTGAAATAATAAAAAGCATTATGTATGATAAGTATATGATATAATAAGCAACAGAGAGGTATGGCTGCAGGAGTGGACAATAAATGTTTATGGCCCCCAACACACCTACCAAGTAATATAATTAATATTCTAATACAATCATACATCACATCACTCCCTGAGAAAATTCCCTGAGTATATATTAACCTTGATCCATCAATTAAAAATTTAAAAATCCTATTTAGATATGTGTTTACTAATCCACAAAATTAGGTGATAACAAAAGCAGCAAACCTGATTTGGAACATATTATTACCTAGTCACTGAACATTACTCTTGGGCGTCAGTCACATGAGTACTATGTTCTTACTTCCTCCTGTTACCATAGCCTGCATAGATAAGAGCTCGGAACTACAACTGCAGAACTACTCTTAAGCTAACTTACTGCACTGTTCCTCAGTTTTTTAACCATGACTGTTTTTCCTAATTTGGTTCCACAATATCATGTATTCTGGATTTCCAAATGTAACTTGGAATGGCCAATAGTTGGGCATACTTTGCAACAAATCTGTAAGCCTTTTTGTACGGAAACCAGGAGACGGTGAGTTCTAGTTCCACCTTAGGCATGAAAGCCAGCTGGGTGACTCTGGGCCAGTCCCTCTCTCTCAGCCCAACTCACCTCACAGGGTTATTGTTGTGGGGAAAATAGAAGGAGGAAGGAGTATTAGCCACCTTGGGTTATTTATAAAAATAAGAAAGGCAGGATAAAAGATCTTTTTTAAAAAAAAAAAAACCTGTTGAAACTAACCTGAAGGGGAAGGGAAAGATTCCCCAGTGAGGCATGGCAGCTGGTAGAAGTACTGTAGTTAGGATTTACTGACTGAGATTTGCTTCTAATGTGTATAGAATAGAGATACAATATGAATACCAGCCAGATTGGCTGCCTTCAGCATCTGAAATGGAAGAGGATCTCTGTAGCATATTCTGGGGGTGTAGGTGTGAGAGATAGACAGAGAGTCAAGCTGTGGAATGTACTTAGAGAGATGGAAATCCCAGAACATCTCAAGTCCTTGTATGAAACTTTACACCAGACAGGAAGCCACAGTCCAGATGGAACATGGCAAAACAGACTGACTCCAAGTCAGCAAAGGAAGCAAGCTATATGTTCTCTCCTTATTTATTCAGCCTATATACTGAATATATATTGGGTGTGTGTTTGTGTGTGTGTTTGCTATATATGTGAGTGTGGTTTGAAAACTGGAGGAAGAAATATCAATAATCTGTGCTATGATAATGATAGCTGAAAATGATCTGGAAGCTCTAGTAATTAAAGTCAGGGAGCACAGTGAAAAAATGGTATTAAGATTAAATATTAAAAAATACTACACTAATGACAACATATACAGCAATCAGTCTTAGAATTGATGATGAATATATTGATAACTTCTGCCTCAATACTAGAGGAACTAGCAGTCAAGAAATATGCTGCAGACCATCACTTGGTAGAGTAGCAATGAAGGCCATTCAGATGTTGTGACATGTCCATGCCTACAAAGATCAGAATCATGCAGGCAATGGTTTTCCCAGTGGAACTATACAACTGACTTGAAAGAAGCAGGATAGAAAGAGTATTGATGCTTTTGAACTTTGGTGTTGGAGAAGATTCCTGAGAATAAACAAATGGATCATTGAACAAATGAATCCAGAGTTCTCACTCAAGGCACAAATGACTAGGTTGAAATTATCATGTTTTGGACATGCAAAAACCTAGCTTTCTTGAGAAGTCTATGATGGTGGGAAAGGTCGAAGGAAAGAGATGAAAAAGTAACCAGCAGCAACATCAATGGACTCAATTACAATAGAAATGGGTGCATCATTGAAAGACCTGAAGGGCTGCACTGGGGACAGATCATTTAGTATAATTTACACTGACTTTCAGCGTAAAACTTGCATGTGATTTTAACTGAATTTAATGCTATCATTATTTGGAACTTTTGATTTTAGCTTATTTGAATAACTCATGGTCACTTCTGATTAGAAACAAGACCTCGATGTATATATTTATAATTATTTTCTCTTGTAGCTGTGTCATACACAAAGACACTGTCCTTGACATTTTCCATCTTTCATAGTATATGCCTGAGAGCATAACCAGTGTGAAGGAAAGGAGAAATGGTATAAATAAATAAATAAACCAACCAACCAACCAACCAACCGTTTTCCCCTCTTTCTCTGAGCTAGAGGATTCTGTTGGTAGAGTACACAATCACAGATATCAGGGTCCAAGTCAATATATTCTGTTTATATTTTATATATCTGACTTACAAATTATAGTCATCATATCTTTGGTACAAATCCGGGAATTCATCCGAGACATATTTTAATAAATCAATGTATGTTTATAGCCAATTAATCTAGTGAAATCTATAAAAGATTGCAATTCTGCTAATAATAAGTTGTCAAATGTGTATTTGCTGAAAGCTCTAATATGCTACAGTATTAAACTACTTTAATACAATAAATACTATGCCACACTGAAGCAGTACTATTTATTTCTTATTGCAGTGGCTGCTGTTCACTATAATTTGAGTTCTTTCTTCCAAGGGTTTTAAAATGTTTTCTACTAATGGAAGTTTACTCCATTAGATTGGGTGAACTGAAATGTGTCTGTACACATTCCAGCCGCTTGATATTTCAAACATACACAATCCAGATAAAGCTCTCACATATTCATATTGTAGATGTTTGACTATATGATCTATGTATGATACGTAATAGGACAAAGGATGGATACTACAGCAACCTGTTCCCGTTTCAAGGCAATATTCAACTGACCACGTTTAGCTACTCTGCCAGTCAAGTATAATTAATTTACTTGTATTTTAGTAGAAGTGACCTTAGCAACACGAAGCTCCAAAGCACTGCTTTGGCTCAACCCTAATGCATTTCTGTGACACCACCACCAGATGCACTAGTGTTGTGAGAATTAAACTGTGAGTGACAGCTACTAGCTGCGGGGCTGCTTCCAGAAATTTCATTTCCAAAATCTCCCAGCAGGTTTTTGCTAAAGGCAAGCTGTTGAAGACTCTTCCCCTGGGGATTTAGTGGATAGTAAAACTGAATGAAGCAGAAATTTGACACCTAAACACCCTACATAACTCTCACTTCTCAACGGCATAAACACACATGCAAGATCTTCACTAACAAAACAGCAACTTCTGCAAAGTAGTTAAAGTGGAATATATTTAAGCTTCTTTACCTCCAAAAGTCATTAAATCTAGTCTGAGCTGTTCCGCTGGTTGGTGGCTTGCAAACTGAGAAAGCTGCATTATTAAGAAAGACACTAGGAGCCAAAAATGTGTACAATCACGCTGTACAATGATTACTTCCAATTCTCTAGAGTTTCAGGGACTATCCTTCCTAGACATTTAAGACCTAGAAATTAAACCTAGCATCTACTGTATGTAAAGAATGTGCTCTACAAATTAGCTTCAGTCCTGTTTCTGATAGTAAAATAATCCTTACATTGCAGTTCAAAAATTCAGAGGCAAAATGGCTGAATTTTGGTGCAAAAATGCTTAAACAGTTCTGAAAAGAGTGCGCTAAACCAAACATACCCATTTCCACCTTTATGTTACCCAGAACCCTAAGACTAATTCCTTAAATCTTAAATAATAAGATTTAATATGAACTATTCAAAATATATATTGTATTTTTGTTGAACCAAATTTTTATTTTCCTTGATTAGACTATCCTTATTTGTAATTTTCAGAATGACTATTCACTGTGCAGTAATACACAATACTACAGAATTCAATCTAAAGAAGTAATTACTGTCATACCAATTATTAGAAATCTCATGTTTGAAGGATGTTATTTGTATTTATATACGAATATATAAATAAATATAATTCATGTAATAAATATGACTTAAATCCCTTAAATAGTTTTTCTAGAGCACATCCCTATGTTATATAAAATGCTTAGTTTTAAAAAAAGGTAACTTTTATGAAGAGAAATAACTTAATTTTATACTATTTTGATGTACTCATACTTTTCTTTCTATATTCAGAAAGAATTGAATTTCCTAAGATAATAATTACAATAACAATAACAATAACAATAATAATAATAAACCTTCAGTTTCAGATGGAGATGTAAGGGCCTTCCAAATGCCACTCGTGTTTCAAAAGATATGAAACTGGAATAGCTCTTATAACCTGTCCCACAGAAGCAGTAAAGATTTTATTTAGTTATGCTATAACTACATTTACAAATCAGGATCCCCATGCACATAGTTTGTGTTGGTCTTTCAGGAAAAAAGAGAACTTGGATTAGGGACAGATATGTCCAAGCAGACACTGTTACAGCTTCCACAATCACTTGATTCTTTATTTTATTTCACATGTTTACTTCAACGGAATATAAAAAGTTTAAAAAGTCAATTAAAGTAGTAAAATAAGAGCTAAATTCATGTAGTATAGGCCTGGCAGAACTATGTGTTCCCTAACATTTATTGCATGGGGTCCAAAGGCAATTCCTGAGGAGTGCATTCCATGACCTGGGATCAATACCCAGGTTTCTGGCCATCTAGCCAGAAAGTGAAGCCTCTGAT